CAGTGTGGGCCATCGGAGTGTAGGACACAAGTATAATCTATTGTGCAAAGAACTGAAATTGAGCTCGCATCTACCCTAGATATGGACGACTGAAAAGACGTAGGCTACTTGGAAATAATTTATTGCGCCAGACAGTTATATCATTTAGAAGTTATTGATTGGTTTTACAAATTGTTTAATTACAAACGCATTAGTGCAAAACATTACTCATACGACAATAATATACTGAAAGGGGTTTACATAAATACCAACAAATAATAAATTTGATTTTAGCTTGGGTTAAATATAATATATAATTGTACTAGAGAAATAGTTATACGCGAATTAATATAATAATAAGAGTCGCGCAATTTCAAGTATATATACAGACCCATATACTTAACATATGTTATACATTGCTTACAGTGACATCAACTACATAATTCATCTCAACAGAATATCTGTTCTATCAAGATAACTAGAGATGAGTGATAATATTCATTTATAATAACACCTTCATATAAGGATTTTTTAGTAATAAACAATTAGAGTAAGGTATGTTGTTGAAAAAAAATTAACTAAAAACTTTTATAAAGAAATGCGATATTTGTGACTCGTCAGAAGTCGTGTGTTTCTGTGCAGGAAGTAGATAGTAATCCTTCGTTGTTATTTCATAGTATTCATATACATCAGACATGTTTGCGTAGGCATACTATCCGAGATCCCTTTCCACTTCATTCTATTGCCCAGTACCTCAAACCACCCTTTCCACCTTTCAATTTGTTGTTTCTCTTTGGGTATTACAAATAGTAATAGTAGTAAAAGTAGTGTTCCGTCACAACACATATATGTTTTCAACGAATATTTAAACTCGTTTTGAACATTTGGAAAATATAGGTTTTCACGACAGGGGTAAATAATAGTAAAATATTGTGTCATGATATAAACAGTATATCATTAATGTATTATTTAAGACTTCAATTAATCAATCACATAAAATGATATGTATACCAATAAAAATAATATATGTATATGGGCATTCCATGTGAAATCACCTAACGTGTGTGCTGGTATAATTCAGAAATTTATGAAATTTATATCATAGACTTTTTAACCCTTAAGCAGGCACGTACCTATTTTTAACGTTCATAGTCGCGTGGGGGTCTATTAGACCCCAATTCTAAAAAAGTATAAAATATGTATAAAAAAGTTCATTTTTTTAAATTCAAAGACATTATTTGTTACCATATGATATATAAATATGGATAAAAATTAAAAATAAATAAATGACAAAATTATGTGCATTACTAAAAATTATATTACGAAAAAAAAAAAAAAACTTAATTTTCAACATTTCATTAAAAAATCTTGGTTTGTAAAAAAATTATTTTAACTGCAAAATTTTATTTTTAAGACGGTAAATAAAAGCTTTTACCATTACAAAATGCAATTTTATTAATTTTTCTTGTATTTCTTTGAGCTCAAAAACGGCTTATATTTATTAGTTTTATGTGTATTGTAATAAACCAAAAATAAAAAGAATGAAAAGAAAAAGGAGAAAAAAAATAGAGAGTGAATAAAAATAAATTAGGGGTGCTTAGTAAATTATTGTAATCATTATTTGTTATAAGTTTTTGTAATTTTAATGTAGATTTAATTGTCTTCAATTTTATTTAAATTAATTTTCTCATTAATTGTTTCTCTCATTAATTATTAATGGTTTATCACGCAATAGATTGTTGGAAGTTCGAAAGCATAGGTTAAATTGTACTTACCTTACGTCCTGTGTGATACAATAATATTTTAAGTAATCCAGTGTTGATTTCCGTATTAAACGCACTACGTATACGATTTACACTATATGTAATATAGTCTATATAATTGATTACAAAAAACGACTCAAGACTTTAAATAATATGATTTAATTACACAAAGTCTACAACTGGTCTTACTTGTGATTGATTCTAAACACTCTGTATTTTATTATAAATACAATTTTTATTTTTTTTACTTATTAATTTTTTTACGTCTGTTGAATAAGTATTTTTTAGAGAGTATATTTTATTGAGAGATCGATACCAATATTTCTTAAATTTTCCTCTGGCCTGGCCAAAACAAGATTCAGAAATATCTATATCTATGTAAAAAATTTATCAAGGCAGAATTGTGGTGGCCCAATGTGTCCCGGTGCTAAAATAAAGCACCTTGAAAGGTTGCGGCACAATAATCACCAAGACAAAAATTAAACACTAAAAATATATTTGTAAGTTTCTTTACGCTGTCTGCCGGCGCGATGTTTATTAAAACAAAGACATTAGTAACGAGACTAGCTACCCAATACGCATAGGCTTACAAATATATTCTAACCTAATATCAAAGGCGTAAAGCATTTGAGTAAATGTATTTGAATAAAAGTATTCAAATACTTTCATTGGTATTGAATAGTATTTTTAAATACATTTAATAAAAAGTATCTGAGTAGTATTTTAAATACAATTATTTAGTATTTAATACTGTTTAATATTCAGTACTATTAATATACTTTTTTTTTCTAATTTGCTAACCGTAACACAGCAAGCAAATTAAACTCAGTCAAAATGAAAATTGAGAATAATTCTCTGTTATTTTATATGTTACATTATAGTATAACATAATTATTGTGCTTATCTAAATGCTATTATGTATACGTCTATTTTTAATACATCAGTAGAACCTACAATAGCCTATTGCAGGTTCAAATGATTTCCTCTATTGTCAATAATAAGACATACTTTACAGGTTTTTACACGTGTACTAATATTTATTTTTTTCACTGATTAGTCTCCAATAATTAATTTTATTTACCTCTAACAAAAAATATCGAAAATAATAAATGAGTTCTCTTAATTTAAGAGTACTCAATATTTGACTCAAATTACCCTCTTGGTAATTATTTAGGTGGAACCTTTTGCTCTTAGTTAAAATAAAAACATTATTATTATTTTTTAATTGTATTCTTAGTATTTGAAATACTTTTGTAAAGTAATTGAGTATTACTCAAATACTTTTGTATGAAAAGTATTCAAATAGTATTTTAAATACATTTTTTTTT